ATTCGGATTTTCCAGATTTGATATTTGCAATGTTGCCAGATTTGCCGTTTCTCTTATATTATTAGTCACTTTGGTTTTTCAAATTTATCACCTTGTATATTCAGTCATTATTGGAATCTCCTATTCAATACGAGTTCAACCATATGTAACACTTATGATTTTATGTAGTCTGGAAGGTCTTAAATAAATAAAACAATCATGGAAAAATGTGGTAGACGGATTCTACCATCGATTAGGGTACTGTCAACTCACAAATGGAGCACATTTTGAACACTTGATAAAGTAATCATTATGTTAAAAATGTTATTATAATCTTTTAATTGTTACGTTTTAATGTAGTTGAAAATAGTTTGTAATAAATAATTTATTGAGACAATTAGGCGTTGCCAGACTTATTTTATTTATTTAATAAACGGTCATTCTTTTATTATTTTTTGTAAACACTGATTTATTGGTTGATTGGCTTTTTAATTAACCGATTATTTTTGATTTTTCAAAGATAATCAAGTAGTCGATTTTAAAGGAAATACGACAAAAAATTATATTGTTCGAAAATAATCGATTGATCGAAAATAATCGATTGATCGAAAATAATCGATTATTTTCATTGATCGATAATAATGTATTCCGATAATCACTCACCCTTAGCGACCAAATGACTTTTAATAGATTTAAATATTAAAATGATATCTGGTTTCAGACATATACATTTCTAGAGTGTTATGTGACTCATCCTCTATAATAATTAATATTCCTAAAGAAAGAAACCTTTTTCTCAGGCTACAATACAAAACAGCGTTTTCTCATTTTGACTAATTTTTAATATTATGTAATAGCCGTAGAAAAAAATATAATGTTAGATTTGCAGTATTCGCCTGCGCAGATGCTTTTTTTATAATACTCGTAGACAATGAGTACCATTATTAACAATATTCTATTTCAACATTTTATTGTAATCCCTTGCAGAAAAGCCCGTAGTAAATAAACGCTAACGAAATATTCTATAAAAGGTCTTCTCTTTATATAAAATGTGACATCTGTTTGATATTAAAAAATCACGTTAATTTTATTTCATAATATAAAATTTCTTTTAAATAAATCTAATAGTGCATTATGATGCTAATAAACAAAGTCCGGTCCCTGTCACAGAGTTCGGGTCGCCACCCAGTTCCCCTATCCGTTAATCTTTCTTTAGAGATTGGCAATATTTGCGCAGGTTAAACACCGGTGTATGTTATATCTCTGGTCTTTTTTATCTAAGACTCATACCAATGCTTTTTTTGAACTATAAAATGAAATATCTATAAATAACCTTTTCTTTACTGGGTATCTGTTTTATTTTGAATGATGGTTATAGTGATATTAAGAACATATAAGTTCTTGGTTTATTTATTTTTATAATTACTATCTAGCTAACTATACTTTCTATCCAGAATTTTTTTATCGAAAAATAGATGTTACGTATAGGTATTTTGGATGAAATCAAACAGTTAATAGATTTCTATCAACTTGGAAATAGACAGCAATTCAAGAAAAATATAACAGACTTACATAAAGAGTTCAATTTTCTTCTGCAAATAGTGGATTATCACGTTCACGTTTCGTTTAACTAAGATCATTCAAAAAGTTTCCGGATCACTACGCCACTACATCACAAGCTTCGACTTGTTTGTTTCCAAGTTTTTTATGATCGAACTGAGATACAAATATTATTCGATTATCTAACACACTAACTCAATAACTACACTGTATTTACTTTTAATAAGTAACGTTCTTTAATATTAACCCTTAAAAATCACATTTTATTTCAAATTCACGAAATTGTTTTCAAGCAAGAACGCTTATTCGAAATTCGCTTTCATATTCGACTATCTTCAGGATTTGTATTTATCGTGGCTGCCGCCAGGGCCAACGTTGCCAGTTTTCGTGATAATGAATTTAAAATAAAAACAATAGTAAAATAAATTATTATCAAATTAGAAAAGATTGTTTTAGATACCTAAAATGAACATACAGGGCAGATAATATAACTGGTGTGTCGTTTATGTTCAAATAAATGTACTTAGGGCACTAAGATTAAGTGTACACATACTGTGAGTGGTATTTTTGTTTGTTTTTTAATAGTTTCGGATTTGAAACTGTAATTTACTTTTAGAAAAACAAATTTGTTGTTAAATAGGCCCATTTTTTACTATTTCTTGTACTGCTTCAGCAAAATGATAGTTTATTTGGGTGTGGCGACTATGGCAAGTTGTGACTTTTCGAGGATTTGTTCGGCTTCATGAGAAAACTTTGTAAGAGCTAATAATAAATAAAATGGACGAGAAACCGTGAATAGAACATATTATTATCTAGATATTATGCTACCTAATGCCTATCTCGCCGAATAATTGGATATTAACCTTTATGGGATTTAAATAATTAAATAATTCATAGTAAAATAAACTAAGTGAAAAAAATATAGAAATCGAATTGACTATTCAAGTATTCAAGTATTTTTCATATCTCAAGATAATAAAGCTCGAGTCCCTATTGGCGTAACTGCGGCAAATAAGCAAGCACCTCTTCTAATGCACATGGAAAATAGAATCAAATTGCCTGACCACGATTGGGTAACGGCTGAGCGTCCTAAATTAATACCATCTGTTTATGCTGGTATCAAAATCACTTCCAGTATGCTAGGACAACCGCAAGCCGTTGGATATTCTGGACCAAAAACATCGCTATTCGAAGTGGAAAACATAGTTCATCTACTGCTAATACTCATGCTCAGGATTTCGAGACGCTTCTCGCACTTGAAGAGTCTCGACCATTAGCTAAAACTGACCATGGACTAGTAAAACCAGTGGTAATCATGACGGTTGATGGAGGGCCAGATGAAAATCCGCGTTATCAAAAAGTCATAGGGTTTGCTATACAACACTTTAAGCGACTTGATCTCGATGCATTGTTTTTAGCTACCAATGCTCCTGGAAGAAGTGCGTATAACAGAGTAAAGCGCAGAATGGCTCTTCTTAGTCGGGAACTGGCTGGTTTAGTATTGCCTCGTGAATATTTTGGGTCTCATTTGGATGAACGTGGCGTTACAATGGATGAACATTTAGAAAGATCTAATTTCGAATTTCGTTACCCTAATTAGCAAACCTCGTAACTCCATTTTTGCTAAATTCACATTTTTATACCAACTTGTAGAGACAAAAAAACCTCTATGACGTTTCAAAGCTCATAAATCCAGAATCCAGAACTCCGAATATTATTCTGGATTTGTGAGGTTTGAAACATGTACTAGAGGTTTTTTTACTCTACAAGTTGGCAAGAAAATGTAAATTTGACAAAAATGGAGTTACGAGGTTTGCTAATTAGGGTAACGATTTGCAGAAAATGTATTAACTGAAGGAAATTGATGGCTATAACGTTACTGCAAAATATGTTGGGGCAGGTGAACAAGATCTTCCTGATTTTCCAGACATTAAATGGTATTCAGAACATGTGCGTGAAAGCCAATACTTGCTTCAAATTGTAAAATGTAGAAATACAGAATGCTGTCGTCCAAGAAGTGGCCTATTCAGATTACTAGACAACAACTTTCTTCCACTACCTGTAAAAGTAAAACAAACAGTTGATGACATGGTTTTGGATGAAGGAGGGCAATTTCTTGATCTTCCAGTCAATTTAGCTCAACGCTTAAGTGCTTCACTCAAAGATTTCCTGCAAATTCCTTGCGATTATTTTTGTCCGACGGTAAAATTGAGGCTATTAAGTCGAACATGCAAAACGTGGTCTTTATCATGCTTTTGTCAAGTCACTAAATCGTCACATGGAGAAGATCCATAAAAAAGTAAATACGCACACTGATAGGAAAGTTAGACCTGTAAGAGTCGCTGCTCGTCGTGCTATTGAACTGATATGCACTATTCAAAATTTAGAGCACCATGATGTTGAATGGGTCGATGAGAACGACGTAGACATTCCAAAATCGGATGAAAGTGAGCAAACTCACAACACTGAGCAGCAATCCAAGCAATCCAATGTCATCGAAAACTTAAAATCATTGATTCGGGTTTAAAATAAGTTTGTTATGTTCGTAAGATTATAATATTTTTGTTCCTTACTCTATGTTGATTACTGTATCAGTAAAATCTAATCTCTATCCTAAATATATTTTCTTATTTTTAAAATTATAATTGTAACATTATAATTATAATATAAAAAAAATACATTTATAATTGAAAAATATTTACGTAAGCATGGGGGCAGGGGGTAAGAGCTTTGCTTACTTTTGCTGACAAATGTCACTACACCACTTTTTCTAGAAACAAAAATATTTTACTTAATAATTATATAAGGACCTCGCGAGGATATTGAGGACCGCTCGAAGTCGCTACAAAATCTCCCGAGGTCGCTACAGAATCTCTCGAGGATGCTACAAAATCTCGAGGTCTTTACAAAATATCTCACATTTATAAATCTCTCAAGGTTGGTACCGACCTTTCGAGTATACAACAAACCTCTTGAACCCGCTACAGAATCTCTAAATATTGCTACAGATTCTTGAGGTCGTTACAAAATAATTCGCAGTTACCGTAGATTTCTCTAGATTTCTACGGATCTCTAGAGGTAGTTATATGGACCTCTCGAGGATACTGCGGACCTCTCAGTCGCTACAGAACATCTCGGGGTCGTTACAGAATCTCGAGGTTTTTATAGTCTCTTGAGATCTTTGCAAAAGCATCCTCAGTTGTCGTAAAATTCTCAAGATTTCTACGGATCTCTTGAGGTTGCTACAGACCTCTTGAAGTCGCTGCAGAATCTCGCGAGGTCTCTACAGAATCTCAAGGTTACTACAGTATTTGGATGTCGTTACAAAATCACTCGCAGTTGTCGTAGATTTCTCGAGATCGGTGGTATGGACCTTTAGAGGATATTGCCTCTCAAAGTCATGTCGATGTTACTAAAATTATCTAAATGTCTTGTTTACATTTTATTCTTTTTTTTTTAAGGGTGTTCTTAGGGTGCACTGCATAGAATCTAGAGATCTAGTCAAAAAAGACATCACTTTTACTGGAAAAAGTAAATCTGATCCGTACGCTGTTCTTGTGGTGGGAGACCAATCTTTTAAGACTGAAACAATACCGGCGGATATCAATCCAAAATGGGACTATTGGTGTGAGGTAAAAAAGTGTTTTTAATATTATAATCTGTTTTATGTACACATATTTTTTTTTTTTTAGTTTGTTATTCTAGAATCAACTGGACAAGAGCTGGTGATAAGCGTGTGGGACGAAGATCCAACTGATGATGAATTTTTAGGAAGGTGATTTATTAGATGTTTGATAGTTACACTGTCGCCAATTTTTAAATTAATTTGTTTTGTTTATTTTAGAGTAGCAGTAGACGTAGCCACTCTGATAAAATCAGGACTTAGTGACATGGTAAGCATTCTGAAATAATTCAATAAAATTACTACTGATACTACTACTACTTTATTATTAAAATTTATTGATTTTTTGTTAATCCAGACCTGTAATTTGTTCTGGCTAACATTACGTATTAAATATCAAAAAATAGACTGTAAAAACACTGTATAAATATTGTTGTAGTGGCTGATGTTGGAAGACGTCAAACATGGTGACATTCATTTGAGGACATCTTGGTTAACCTTAACTACAGACTATGACAATCTAAAAGGGGTGAGTTTTTAAATAACTATCTAATTATGACTACACAAATAGCCACAACCATGACAGCAGCAGTTTTTAATATTTTTGCCTTTAATTTGATACATTTTTTTATTTATCTCGATGTTTATTTGTCAAATATCAATATTGTTATTAATGTCACCTCCCTTTAACGCAAGTAATGCGAACTGTCAAAAAATATGGAGGGTGACGTGGCTTGGTGCACCATTTCTATTTTAATTATTCAATTAAAACTTTTGATGGAGTGCAGTTTTATAATCACTCCTTATATGTCCTCTTTAGTGTCTGACCCATGTCTGACCATGTCAAAAATATTTTCAAAATCAATGAATCCTTGCTTACGTAATTTGTGTTTCTTAGATTTGATCTATTTAATTTTTTTTTAGGCCTTGTACGAAAGTCAACAATTGCAGCTCTCTCATATGAGTTCGGCTCTATTGATAGTCTATATAGATTCGGCGACAAATTTAAAGGTGAGTAAAGTGAGGTTCTCACTAGAGTTTGAATGATTCATTTGATCTGAATAATTATTAATCAAAATAAGAATGAAAGGTGCTTGTTCACACGTTTCATGTTTTGTGAATAGGTACATCCAGCTGGTCACTTCAGTTTGTATACATTATTCGATAATGAACAGTCAAGATAAAGAAATGTAGAACTAGTTTTCACTTAAAGTACAGATATACTGATAATTTTTTGTTGGAAATATATCCAACATATTGCATTAATTCATCAGGCCAGCCCGGTCCCTGAGGGCCATTAAACAAGTAACTCTTCAATATTAATTAAATAATTAAAGAAACTAAAATTCTGACCCTGACTTGCCCGTTCTAACAACCTCAGCATCAAATCATAGATCCACTGCCAGTACATCAAAGCTCTTCCCCAGGTACTTTTTAAAATAATTAATTACAGTCACACTTGGTTTTGACCACTCAGGGCCACATTATACAATGTGCTATATTCAGTAGCAACCTACAATAAGCCCTTTATATTTTTAATGAAAATGTGTTTTCACGTTCATTATTAATTTGTTCGGTATCACTGAATCATTTAAACTGCTTCATCGAAACTGACACGAAAAAGAAATAAGAGGAGAAAGGTGTAACTATTTTTTTGCAGCAAGTAAGGGCTTCCACGAAACCGGACCCCTACGTTCAACTCCAATTGGGCAGGCAAATCAAAACGACGCATTCAGTGATGAGGACCGTCAGTCCCGTCTGGGAGGACAGCTTCATTTTCATGGTGTCCAATCCAGATTCTGATTATCTCAATTTGAAAATATTCGACGCTAAAACGGATGCGGAACTGAACGAAATCAGTTTCAATTTGAGCAGTCTTTGCGACAAGGAGAACTTGGAGATTGAACAGGAGAAGCTTAGATTGGAATACGGGAGGAACGAGTGTCGATTAATTTTGTCGTTACATCTAAAGGTAAATTAATTGATGGTTGCGATATTACTATGAAAATATTCGTATAATTAATTTATATTCCCTGTAATATACGATCAAATATAAACGGAAATGTATACGCATTATCAGTGTTGCTCCTGGTTGTATGATTGTTGTATTTTAATACGTACTTTGACGTTGTTGTTGATGATGAAAAAAATACAAATTTTTTGGAATGTGCTATACTAGATCAAAATATTGGAGATGGTTAATTCCTGTTCACGTACAATACCGCGCCAGGTGACTGCAGAATGTTAAAATAGTTACATTATCATGTTTTCTCTTCGCTTTAGCACTTATATATTTTTGATATAATATATTTGTTACCTATTGGAAAAAAAAATATTGTCATTATTTTGTACATTGAATGTCAGCAACCAAAATAAAGAAGTTCATTTAAATTTGTATTCATTGAGTATTCGTCTTTTCGGTGTAACTTCAACACTGAAGCTATCGGTATCACATGCCATACTAGTCATTCTTGTATGTTCATTGCCAAAATGTATTCTTCCAGTGACGTAGAAATCTTATATTTATTGTGAAAATCTGTAAATTAAGCTATCACTTACTTGACTCGAAATTTATAAATTATCGTAATCCATCATTAAGTGCCTTTTACAACATAACCCGTTTAATAAGCTTTTGTGTAACATGTATACCATGTTTCAGAAACATTTTCAGTGAAATATTTAACTAAAATATTTTATAGACTTGTGCTTGAAATGTTATATATGTTTGAAATATTTCTAAAATAATGTGTGCTGAATGGGGAATAGCACTTGATTTCTTCCACTCAACAAATTAATCAATTTGATGTAGTCTCCTATAATGACAATTTTGTTTCTAGATATTCAACAACGAGCACTTTGAAGAATATCTAGAAAAACGACCGTCATCAAGATTATCATCATCCAGTACGTTAAAATGATCTTTTTTACATTTTAGTATCAACTCTTTTTTTTAGGCGAATGTACCGTTGAAAAAGAACATTCGGATTCAGAATCCATGTCCAGCGACAGTACCAAATATTCTAGTCACAGTACTCGTAGGAGTCACTCCTCTCTCAGATCCAGCGGATCGATTAACAGGTAACCACCGTACTACCGCAAGGATCCGTTCTCGGGTCGCTTTTATTTTTCATGAATACCGACTTTGTTTATAATCAAAATTTCGAAAGATATCGTTACACAAATCTTTTTTTTAGAATGTCGCAAGAGTGTTTTGGAGACATAAATCTTACGATGCGATACAGTTTGCAAAGGCAGAGATTAATAGTTGTTATTCACAGAGTTAGGTAAGGAAAATAGTAAATGTAAATATAATATCGGCGATTCTAGTCAAATTTGGCGCTTGTTTTTCTGACAGCTGTCATACCTAACTAATATCTTTTCTTTAACTATCACTTGGTACTTTTTCTTATTTTAATAGATGTTACGTGTAAACTGAAGCTTTGACATTTCAGTTATAAAATATGTTCCTTTGACAGCTGTCACCTATGATTTACTGGCGCTTAAGTCTTAGTGAAAAATTAAATAATTTATTTATATTTCAGTAATTTATGTTTTGAAGATCCGACTGAATATAAAGATATTTATGTAAAATTATACATATTACCTGGAAAATGTAAAGCGACGAAAAGGAAAACTAAGGTACTTATAGTATAATACATTACGAGTAATGAAAGTGACATTTTTCCTACATAAGTGGGAAATATTGTATCACACGAGTGTTAAAAATTATTTCTACACAAGTGATTTTCAATATTTTTCCTAGGACCACAAAATAATTTCATAAAAAAATGTAAAATCACGAAAACTACTTATGTAGGTTCAATCAAGATGTGGCTGGTTTTGATTAATTTTTTTGTCTGTTTTTCGACAAATTCTATGGAAACGAATATTAAATAAATAATTTTCAGGTACTAAAAAACGTTCGAGAGGCGACTTTCGATAAACGCTTCGAATTTCTAGTTGCTCAAAACGAAATAAACGATAAGTACCTCGAAATATCCGTTATTGAAGAAAAAGTCATTAAAAACGAAATCTTAGGACAGGTGAGCCATACACATACACAAACTAAACATAGGATAGTTCTAAAGACCATAACAGCACACGCCTTTGACTTTTTCATGGCCTACTTTAAAATAAATTTTGGGATCACTCCATGAGATTGATTGTAATAATTAATAATGTTTAAACATCGATATTTTTAGGTAATAGTCGAACTAAAAGAAATCAGCTTACCGTTCACGGGGACCTTCGAACTGGGACCAAGGCTAAGGAGAGATTGACATTTTTTGACACAAATTGTACTATTATATTAGTATTTTAAAGTATTTATTAAATTACATATGTTAACTATTCGTTATATCGTTTCATTTAACCAAACTGTCTTTTAAATTCCACATGGTTTCAAATTCGGGCCTCTTGCTTTTTTTTTGTTTGTTTAAATGATATAACAGACCTTTTAAATAAAGGTAGTAGTTTTCAGGTGTCCACGGCCTCTTAAGGGCAATCAGAATATCTACACTTAAATAAATTCCTAAAATTTTAATTTTCTTCCGAATTCACGAGCTTTTTAAAACGGTTTAAGAATTATTTGTTGGCGGGTGAAACAATATATTTTGAAAGAAAATTAATTTGATGTTATTTCTTTTTAATGTTGCTAATGTTTGAAAAATTAATATGCAGTTTCTCGAGTTAATCGATTGCAAAATATCAATGGTTTGAGCTCATTTTCATTTCACTCTGACAATAAATACGTTTGATCCTAGAACGTATCTTCTTTGATATTTAATGTAGAACTTTGATTAAACATAAAACCCTGCTTAAAAGAAATAAAAATATATCTAGATTATAGTTTATTAACTCTAGATCGAGTCTAAATATTGAAAATTTATGTGTATGAAGTGGAAAAACTGCGAAAAGCCTTTCCAACTTCTGCCCTTGCTATACTAGCCATATAGGCTTCTATGGTATCTTCTATTTATTTTTTCGTTCATTTTACATGTTGTCGTTAAACAAAAGAAGGTGACCAAGTCCACCAACAGTAGTTTTGAGTTATTCGTATTTTAATGATTTGTGTATGATTATAAAATGAAATAAATTATTTGGTCATTTTTATGGCATTTTTCGAGAGGTTAATTTTTTTCTGATAATATTGAATATAAGATACATGGGCATTACAATGTAAAATTTTGGACTTGCTCACTTTCTCTTGTATACCGATGATATACAAATTAGGAAAAAGGTATACAAGCCATAGGCTTTGACATGGCGAGTGCTCGGCCATCTGTAAACTTTATATACAACACCAACGTCTACATACATATCACCTTTCCTGCATTCGATATTGTTTACTTTTATCAATCATCAATGTATGAACTGTGGTGGGACGTGGGATGTAGTTCTCTCTAATTATATAAAGACAATATTTACGTAGATTTTCCGCGATTGTAGAACTAAGAATTATTTTATGTGACAAATAATTTTTAATTTTTCAAATAACTGTTACATAGAAATTTATTAGCCTTTATAGCTTTGAAAAGAAAATAAGTACTCATACAAAATACTAAAAAAAATAAAAGGTAATTTCTACACAATAACAAAAAAGAATTCTTAAAACTTGAAAATAACTAAAATTATAAAATACTAAACCTATGGAATAGTGAAATTGGCCAATTGTCACACGCTCCCAATAAAGAATTTATTGCCCCGTCTACGGAATTACACCCAAAATACCATTTTAAAATTTGAATCTTTTCCTCTTTAGCTTAAATAAGAGCGGCATTATAAAAATAAAATTGTATGTATACCTACAGAATTTTCAAATCAACAGCGTATATTATCCTGTAAAAACCAAGCAGTAAATGAAATAAACATATATTGTCAGATATTGTACATGTTGGTCGATTTGATTACGATGATCTCCGAAGTGATATGATACTGTATGCTACAATAGACATACTGTACAGCTCGTTTACTTTTTTCCTAATCTGCATGCGTGCATATTTATGTGAAAAATTGTAATTTAATTGGGAAATACACTATATTATTATTGTTTTACCAAATATTTTAAAAAGCATTTGGATTTATTTTGGAGTACATTATCTATGAAGTTAGTCACTTGTAAAACGGCTTTTCTAAAGAATTCAATAAAATTGAAATATAAGGTTAATGAAAGGGTCTTTTACATAACTAATAAAAAAAATGAATTTAACATTCTTGAAGCCTGTCATTTAGATATAATTTTTCAATTTATTACTTAATATCTTACCTGCCAGCTTTAAAAAATTGTCATCACCAATGTACCCTCATAACCTACCTCATACGGACCGAAATTTGTTGCAGTCATTTTGCCGGTTCAGGTAGCAGTCCTCAATTAGAAAATACAGGCTAAAAGGATAATGAAACAAAGTAAATCAGTCAACCGATTTATTTCCAGCGAATCAAATTATTAACCTTAAATAAATAAAACCAACGCGCCAGAAACACATCGACACGATATAAAAATATTCAACAATGCTAACTAACGCTCTAATCCTCTTTCTTGGCATCGACTTTGCCTCCCCTGATACGACCTGTCCTGCGGGCGGCGATGAGACCGACTTTACGACCGGCCGACGTTCCTCTCTTGACAGTAGAAGCCTTACCGATGTGTTGATGGTTACCACCTCCGTGAGGATGCTCGACGGGGTTCATAGCAACACCACGAACCTTGGGCCAGCAGTTACGCTTCACCTTGTATTTGTGGTAAGCACGACCGGCTTTCAATATGGGTTTGTCGATACGACCGCCTCCAGCAACGATACCTGAATAAAAACAGTTTATTAGTCAAATACTACAAATTTTTAAAAGTGTTATCAATTTTTCAAATCTCAGAAAGAGCCTCTAGATAAATGTTCATCAAAGTTTAGTCAGAGGTCTAGAAATCATCATTAAACTTCTAAAGATACGTTTACATTTGACATTTATTGCATTAGATTTATGTTTGACAGTTGTTGAGTTCAGTCTAAACACAAAAATTTCTCTCAGAGATATATGTTTGAGTGTTTACACTGGAATAAACAACTGTCAGACATAAATCTCATGCAATAAATGTCAGATGTAAACGTACCTTTATATTATGATAAATAAAATGTATTTAAAATAATAAACAACAATAATACGTAATTTTACAATTTTCATATTTTTTTCAAAATAAAACTGCGGAAGCCACCGCGCGCGCACCGATAGTACTGAAAGCGCTCTCAAGTTTCTAAGTTTAAATTGTTTAAAACTAGTTTAAAAATTTTGATCTTTTTACCACATTTGTAATAAAACATGTCCTTCCTTCAGATCAAGTTTTATTTATTGTTAGTGTAGTTTAGTGTTAAAAATGCATTTTTGAATTAAAATACATTATTGAGACAAAAAAACTCGTTTCTTTCTTATCTATTATCTAGGAAGCCTGCTCCCAGTGACGTACATGTAGCGAGGGTTTTGAAGTTAAAATGACTAAGACAATATAACATGGAGTGTTTCCTGTGTAAAGTTTTAAAACAACCAACTAAGGATTTTAAAATTCTTTGTTTCCCATGTGATGGCTGCAAAAATCTAGTATGTATAGAATGAAGTGAGTTATGTACGTCAGAATTAAGGTGCATACCTCTACAAAAATGTTCACTAAAGTTTAACTGCAAGAAATGTAGGAATTTTGAGTTTATAGACATTTTAAAATCCACAATAGCTCATAAAAATAAAATGATTGAAGACCAGGAACTAATTATAAAACTTTTGAAAGAAAAAATTGAAAATTTGGAAAAGCATGTTAGTTACTCTAGTGTTTTGAAACAAGACAAGGTAACCACAACTGGTATGGCAGTCAAATCTAATAGTCTAATCAACAATTTCAAAAGCGTGTTTTTTGGACATACTATTACGAAAATTATGTTCAATAGCTCATTCGATTCGGAATAATGTCTAGATCAATGTGTGAAGAAAAATTTTGCAGTGCATAAAAAATTGCAAAAGTTATAAACAATTAAACACCTCAAAAACATGGTGTTTGGTTTTTCGCCTATAGTTTGTAAACTATAAATATTTTTGGATTTTTCAAAAAAGATCCTTAAAGAGGAGGAAATTTGCTATAAATAAGTTCCGACTCCCGGAACTGTACCTCCATTATTTATAATTTTAATTTAACGCTCAAAGTAGCCTTCCGCGCGCCATTTTTAGGTTGCGCGCACGGCGTCGAAACCGAGTACGTTACATAAAATAATTTTTTTAAGTTAATAAAATTAAATTCAAAAATTTAAAAAAATTACGGTGTATTCTAAACACTTAGAAGAATTCATTCCCGTTGGAATTTTTCATGAAAATTAATTTTCCAACAAAGTAGGTTATTGTTAACAAAATTTTTAGAATTTCTCTCATCATTACAAATTGATAAAAATATTAAATAATTACCGTAATTTTTGTTTGCTTCCTGGAGCTCTTTTTATATACATATAAAACAAAATAGCTTCATAAAAGTTTAAAAAATGTTAATACTTTGTTTTTAATAATTTTTTAAAGTTTACAAAAACAGAAAAGTCACAGTGGTGCTATATTATATTTATTATAATATTACTGTTTTAATGTTGGGAAAAGACATTTATTAATTAAAAATTTTTTCCTCCATTTGTTTATAAATTTTTTATAAACAAATGGAGCATTTCAATTTTTTTCAAATTTTTTTTTTACAACTTTCTAGAAAATGGACAATTATGATTTTAAAAAATAATAATTTTAATAATAACTTTTAATTGTTTATAATCGTTTTTTTAATATATCTATTGTTTAAATTATTAGTTAAGAAATGTATTTTTTTTTTTATCATAATTGACAGTCCTCTACAAAGTGACATCAAAAAAATTTTTTTTATTAATAATTCCATTGTTAAGTTAACAATTTGTTATAAACAAATTCCCAACTTTGGTTTATTTTTTTCCTGAAAGAAATAAAAATTCCAATAACGACTTAGTGCATTAAAATTACGGAAAAAATTTTATTCCATTTTTTTATTAAACTTTGAACATGTACGTACTATCAAAATTGCAGCAGCTGATCCATTTGTTGACTTAAAAGTTGATATAACTTTTAAACTATTGGAGATACGACAATAAACATTCAAGTCATTTTTGTAGGCAATTAAATTATCTCTCAGATAAGTCATTTGTCAATTCCGTACCTATTGTCAATTTGTTGTTTTTTATATTTGTTTATAAAAATTGATTTTTTTTTAAGTTTTTCGAACTTTTGCGACTTGTAGCTCAGTAAATAATGCAAATTCGGTTATTGAACTTCAAGGCAATTCTGTTAAGCTATTAATTATATAACATTTGCAATTGTTTATTTAATTTTCAGTCAATTTTTTTAAAAACTATTATAATTTTTTTACTAAATCTTTGGAAATTTTATGCATTCATATTATTTTCAATTTTTTTACATAATATTGCATTTTTTTATGTTACAAATCTTTAAAATTTAGTCAGACTTTTTTTACCGATTCGTTTTTGTCTTTCGCTTCGAGTTTTGTACGTTTCAATGTGCAGCTGCGTGTTTACAGGTCAAATCTTTTGTCCGATCCCCTCAACATAATTCATTTTACGACTTTTCTTTCAATTATTTATAGAAATTCTTGCATGTTTTTCAGAAGAAAAATAATTTTTAATATTTTTGATTGAAGATAGCCAGAGAATAATAAGTACCGTCAAACGGGGTTAAGTGAATCACAATGGGTTAAGAATCGATTCCACCGTTGTGTCAAACGGAGATTAAAATAACTGTTAATGTACAAATGTAATTTTAAATTTCGTTTAACACAACGGTGGAATCGGTCCTAAGAGCCGATTCCACCGTTATGTTAAACGGAGATTAAAATGACATTGTTAATGTAAAAATGTCATTTTAAACTTCGTTTAACACAACGGTGAAATCGGTCCTAAGTGAATCACAATGGGTAAAGTGAACCATTCGGTAATTTCCGTTATAAGTGACGAATATTATATTTTTAGTTCGTAAATTTCTTCTTTGTTTTATGATTAAATGCTGTTTTTTTACTATTTTTAAATAAACGTTTTTGTTCTTTGTATTACGTTTATTTTATTGTTTTTCCAACCAAGTGTTTAAAAGATTTAGTAAAAAAATTATAATAGTTTATAAAAAAATTGACTGAAAATTAAATAAACAATTGCAAATGTTATATAATTAATAGCTTAATAGAATTGCCTTGAAGTTCAATAACCGAATTTGCATTATTTACTGAGCTACAAGCCGCAAAAGTTCAAAAAACTTAAAAAAAAAATCAATTTTTATAAACAAATATAAAAAACAACAAATTGACAATAGGTACGAAATTGACAAATGACTTATCTGAGAGATAATTTCATTGCCTACAAAAATGACTTGAATGTTTATTGTCGTATCTCCAATAGTTTAAAAGTTATATCAACTTTTAAGTCAACAAATGGATCAGCTGCTGCAACTTTGATAGTACGTATATTTTCAAAGTTTAATAAAAAATGGAATAAAATTTTTTTCCGTAATTTTGGAATTTTTATTTCTTTCAGGAAAAAATAAACCAAAGTTGGGAATTTGTTTATAACAAATTGTTAACTTAATAAACAATGAAATTATTAATAAAAAAATTTTTTTGCTGTCACTTTGTAGAGGACTGTCAATTATGATTAAAAAAAAAAAACACATTTCTTAACTAATAATTTAAACAATAGATATTTAAAAAAAACGATTATAAACAATTAAAAGTTATAAAGAAAAAAATTTTTTTTTAAAAATCATAATTGGCAATTGTCTAGAAAGTTGTAAAAAAAATTAGAAAAATTTGAAATACTCCATTTATTTATATTTTATATTAAATGATGAAGTGTTTCAGGGTTTTTACATTTTAAAATTTTAAGGGGGGAAATGAGGGGTGAAAATTTGTTTAATAATATGTATGTATATATTTTTTTGTTATTTAAAGTTTGAAACATAAAAATTTGAATTACAGCTACTGATTAAATATCAAAAATGATGTGTTTCATGGTTTTTGGATTTTCTCATTTTAAGAGGAGAAAACGGGGGTGAAAATTTGTATAGAAGTTTAAATTTTTTAAACATTGGAACTTGAAAATTATAATTGTAGCATAAATACGTAATGACGTGCTCTGTGGTTTTTAGATTTTTGTATCATAAAAATTAATAAAAAGTAATAAAAATTAATAAAAATAAATAAAACTAAATAAAAATGAATAAGAATAAATAAATATGATTTATTTTCCATAAGACAATACAATTGTATGGGATTCGTCAAAATACAAGTAAATAAAATAAAAATATGATAAAACCATAAAATTAGAAAATATAATAAAATATGGGTAGGACTTATACATCAAATTCGTAAAATTCAGCGAGATCATAAAAACAATATTCTAGTATTTGATAAAATATATGCATTTATTATATACACTAACTTTTGCACTCTTTGGGCTGAAAGTTGATTAGATTTAAAAATAGTGTGAAGTATATCACTATGTAATTTCAATTTTATGTTAGTATTAAAATTATAAATGTACATTTAATTGTAAAAGGGGTTTCAACCCGTAAATAAATAAATAAAATAGTGAATTTTAAATATTTTTATCATAAAGAACCTTAAAAAAAAATTTATTTTAAATTTTAGGTTTATTTTAAAACCTAGGTACAAAATACCTGTACCTGTTAAACCTGGTAAAAAACATAAATAAATACCATAAAAAGGTAATTTGGTAATGTTGTAGTTGACGGCTCTAGAAATGCACATGTTTACTCCACTCTGCACTAACGTCTAGAATTTAAATTTGCACAAACCATGTTGCCAAATCTAGACTTTCATTTTAGCCTGCTTTATTTCATAGTTCATTTTTTAACCAAATTGTAACCTCTGTACATGAAAATGTATGATAAATAAATATAAAGATTTATATTATATTTTGAAACAACAATTCTGTTTTGTTTTATAAGACAGTTTTGATAGATTTTAAATTTAAATTTTGTAATTATCACTATTGGAAGGTATTATTGACATTAAAAATAAAGATCATATTACTTGAAAATCTTTAGAACATTTTGTTATTTTTATTCAATGTAAAAATTGGTAAATAGATGATTAAAAGTAAAATAGTTATTTCAATCTGCTTATTCCCAGATTCCAAATAATTAAATATAACCTGGCAACTATGTAATGATTCCAACTGGCAGAACTAGCCAGAATAGGAATGGTGCACACAGGCCTATTTCCAGACTCTTCAACTAAAACATTACCAGTAATTTAATGAAGAATTTGGCAATATGACTGTTAATTGTGTTACATTTGCCATTACCGTTACATATTGTAATGTGTGACTATTTCAATTGAAAGATTATTGTATTGGTAGCAACATTTTGTTATTTTGGTTGTTGTGATTAAAGTTAATTTGATTAAATCTTAACTTTAGTAGCATGGTTTTTGAATTAAGTTCATATTAATTTCAGTTTATTAATTTTAATTGTGTTTATCATTTTAACTCGATACATATATTCTTAAAGAACAGAAACAATTTTAAATAATATTTAATCAATTAAAATTGCACTCACCAACCATAGCCCTGTTGTTGGATGGAATGACCTTCTTGGCTCCTGATGGCAACTTAACCCTAGTTTTTCTTGTATCATGGTTGTGTGCAATTACTGTTGCATAGTTGCCTGATGCACGGGCCAATCGACCACGGTCACCAGTTTTTTCTTCCAAATTACACACAATGGTACCTTCAGGCATAGTTCCTACAGGTAGTACATTTCCTAAAATAAAAAGAAACATCAACCATCGAAAATATCAACGGTTTTCTTTGTAATGTAAAAAATTACTTCAGAAAGAGCCTCTAATGAGACATCAGATACATTTTCAGAGTGTAGGTATGTAGAAATCATCATGTAAAAGATTAAAATTCATTTCAAATAACTGCAGCAAATAGCATATTTCTTTAGTATGTCGTTCCGCAAAAAAACTCATTTTAACGACTAATTATATCAGTGTCAAAGCTTTAAACACAATGTACTTACCAATTTGGAGGTTAGCTTTCTTTCCACAGTATAAAAATTGTCCTGTGTACATTCCTTCGGGAGCAATGAACAGCTCCTTTCTAGTTTGGAACTTGTAAGGGTCTCTGAAATGTACAACAGCCAACGGGGCACCGCGACCTGGGTCATGAAGGATATCTTTAACTACCCCCTTGATGTAACCATGTCGTTCTGAGAAATCTAAATAACGCAGTTTTGGTGCTCCTTTCCTCCTTTTTGTATGGGATTTGAATACGGATCCCGCACCTTTACGTTGTGCCCGAATTACACGACCCATTGTAGTTTAATCTGAAACAGAAAATAATGACCAAATTGCTATAACCTAACTTTCTAATATTCACAAGTTTTCCTAAAATACACTTACTCGAAATAAAATACTTAGTAAGACATATAAATAATATTATTTCTAATTATTTGAGCAATAAATAAATAATGGATGGTTTATATTTGTATTAGATTTTATAAAATTTCGTAAAATAATAAAAACAACACCAACTTTACCTACCTACGTCGAAGTGAAAGGCACGTTGTTGCCAAATTTCTAACACTTAAAAATCTTTTGACAGAATACCAAAATTAAATTTCTGATTAAAAAATGGTTACAGTTGCAAAAATAAAGGACAGCCGCAACAAATACTAATTTATTTAGTCTTCACTTTATTAATTTATAAATAATTTCACATTTTTAAAGTTAATTAAAAATTTTATAGTTATGACCTGACAACGTCGCTTATTTCTTCTTTTTTATTCCCATCTTGAACGTGTGAGGCTATCCTACTAAGAAAAATCGTAAAAAAGGAACTCTTAAAAAATGATTTCAGTATTGTTCCAAAGTATATTAACCGTTGAGTAGCGACATAAAGCGTCGGTGCCTTTGATCTTGGGTGGTACAAATTTTCTTTCTCTCTTTTGACGTTTTGACGGAACGACACAGTAAAACACTGCTCGAATTATGAACTGGTCTTGAATGTGATGTTTACACTGCTCGACGTAATTTGAAGTAAAACTCTTTTGTAGTTTACATTTATAATAAAGGTTTGGTCATTAGGCAGTTTTATATTTATGAGTATTTAACTTATGTAGTAAATATAAAAATATATCACTTATAAGCACATGCATTTCCTGGCATAATGAAAAACCCACAAAATCTCAAAAAATCTTAACACAATAAAAGAGCACTAATAAATCCATAACAACTAATTTCTATATCAGCTGCCAAACTAAGTGAAAGGGGTTGTTTACATCTTTAGAAGACGTCTCGCCTCTCTATTTCGCGTCGGCGCACTAGAATTTGGTTCCCCAGCTGTCGCTACTCAACGGTTAATATACTTTGATTGTTCCGTAATCAATCTCATGTCATGTTGACTAAAGAATTTTAAATTTATGTATTATTTACATGTTTTTGTGGTAATTTTAGATGTTTAAAAAATATGTTGTCTGTTATGCAATATTTACTACCTCGTAGCCCACTGGCTTTTATTAGGCAAGGTTCATCCAGTTCGAAGAAGGGAAAAGGCGGAACATGCGACTGTCCTCCGAAAGCAGCGAAACCGAAATGCGAATGTACTGCGAAAGTAGAGAAACCGAAGAAAGTACCGAAGTTAAAGACGTTCAAAGTTTACCGATATAACCCAGAAAAAAAGAAACCCGCGAAAATGCAAAGCTATACTATCGATCTTAACGAGTAACTTAAAATTGTTTTAGAATTTTTGACGGAAATTATTACAATTTTAACTTAGTTGTAGGCCTACAATCCTCGATGCTTTGATGAAAATTAAAACTGAACAGGATTCATCTTTAGCGTTCAGGAAATCTTGCAGAGAGGGTATTTGTGGTTCTTGTGGAATGAATATTGATGGTACTAATGGACTTGCTTGTACACGGTACTAAATTAACGTTTCTTAACAATTACAGAGGTGTCAGTTGTCATTACATTTTAGTTTAGTCTTCAGTCCGACTAGTCGATGTTTTAAATTTTGCGTTTTGACATAATAGTGTTTGCTACTTTTATGATCTCTTCTGTTTGTTTCAGAAAGATAAAGCATGGTGGTGTAACCAAAATATATCCATTACCTCATATGTACGTGGTCAAAGATCTAATAGTAGATTTCAACCAATTTATAGAACAGCACAATAGAATCAAACCCTTTCTAATGACGCGTGGAGATACTATAGCCAATAAACAATATGTACAGAGTATGAAAGACCGAGATAAACTAGTAAGTACATAATTTAGATCAAAGAATAATTAGTAGTTTGGATAATACTTTTTTTTGTTAGATCGTTCCAAAAATCTACAGCGCACAATCCTGAGTGTCAGTTTGCGACTATTGTTACAACAAATCTTATAATATTAGCGGGGTACAAGTAATTCTACTTAAAACTTATTCAGTTATGTAAATTATATTTCCAGATCGGTCTGGCAGAATGCATTCTCTGTGCTTGCTGCTCGACATCCTGTCCAGAATATTGGTGGCACGGACATACAAAGCCACCTAATGACTTTTTGGGCCCCGCAGCTCTGTTAAATGCTTATAGATGGATCATAGACTCCAGAGATCAAGGCACGGATGAGAGGTTGAACGAGCTGAAAAATTATCACAGCGTCTACAGATGCCATCAAATTAACAACTGTTCAACTTGTTGTCCAAAGGTAAAAATTAGTACGAATCTAAACTATTTGGCAAAGGAAATATTCATAAAAATATTACTTTGGATGTACATTTGTCTTGGCGCCATCATTTTTTAGGTTAATTCAATTCTTTTTAATAACGTGGACAACTACCTAATACATGTATACCATAGATAAAAATATTAATTTATCTATGTGTACACAGCATTAATAAGTTTTTTCTTGTAGAGGCTGTTACCAGGAAAAGTAATCGCTAAATTAAGATTATTAGTAAGTGATATCGTCCAGAAAAAAACTCCCGATCTACATGGAATCGCTCTATCAGATCCTGAAAAAGCTTGCAGAGATTAGCTACACTTTAATTCCATTTAGGATAGATATAAAATACGCAAAAAGTTGAGTCGCCATAGAAAATGTTATCTTAAAAGTTTGGGCTTAATTAAAAAAAAAGTGTTTGAGTTATAAGTGAGAACTCATCAGAGCCTTGTACCAGTTGAGCGTCGTAATAAATATTTAATCATAAATTATTAATCGTATCTAAATCTTAAATTTGATCAAATCAAGTGGAATCAATACATTTAATTTTTGTTCTTTTGAAAAAATTCAACGATTCGTAATATTATGGTTTTCACATGTGTTGAAACAGACCTAATGTTTACTTTTGACAGGTGTCATATATTGACTCATTAACATTTTCTTGACAATTTTCCAAGTTTTTAACAAATTTATTTTGACACTTCATACTTCTAACTTTTTGATACTTTTGAAATTATCCACATTAGCTTTCTATATCGTTTGACATTTATATGACATTAATGACAGTACCCATTCTTGTTGACTTTTGAGATTAATAGTGTATTTTGACAGTTCTTATGCTTTTTTGATGTTTTTTTGTCCAAGACACTACTTTTGACAATTATTTAATTTTTTTACAATTTTGGCGGTTAAATAAAACGGTGAAAATTATTTTTTGTATTATTTCATTAAAGTATTTATATGTGCCCACTTTACCCCATTTTGTTTAAATATTTGTAAAATTAAAATATAATAAATGAATATAATATATAGTTTGTAGCATAAATTTATGAAATTATTTTAATGTTGCATTAAAAAAAAATATTTTCTTTTATTGATCATTTTGTTTATAATTATAACATTCTTCAAAATTGTTAAAGATTGACCAAATTGTTGTAAACAATAAATAAACACGTTTAAGATAGATAGATATTGTATAATTATTTTTATGGTATAAAATTGATCCATATGATACTAAATTATTTTTCATCCCCCACATTCTGCCCTTGAAGCGTCTCATCTCTGCTAGTATCTTTGAGCACTTCTTGGAAAGTATCTTCTAGGTCTAAATACTTGTTGAAAGCGCACCAATCGATCTTTTTGCCAGCATGAGGTTCCGGTTCGGATGCCCACCATAGTTGGTACTAAAAAAAATAGCTTTTTAAAATGGCATGTCTGTCATTATTCTGTCATTTTTCTGTCAATACTCTTATTCTGTCATTATTTTGTCATTCTGTCATTATTTTGTTATTATTCTGTCAATATATGTGATTATTCTTTCATCATTCTGTCATTTTTCTATCATACTCCTCTCACTTTTATTCTTGCTTTTCTATCTACGATGAATATAAAAAGACATACCTTAATGTTCGTTGGATAAACGTCTGTTGGTGGACAATGACTCAAGTCGAGAAATTTGATAATATCTGTATAAATAATGTTTCCGTGTTCATCTTTGGCAGCACTGAAAGCATATACAAAACAAGTTTTAGTTATCCGTTCAATATAAGTACGCGAAAAGGCAAATTCCTGATCATTACTTACATATCGAGGATCTTTTCCAGAATCAATATATCGAACGGCAATCTGCAACCCTTCATAACTTTTAGAGCATCAGCTCTGGTCAACGTGCCGCAATTAACAACGTCGGCGTGATGAAAATATTCACCCAGGCGATCTAGTTCGTCCCACATTCTTTTTTTCAGCACGGTCAAACACACGGCTCTAAAAAAATAGCGAAATCATTGTAAAACAACACGAGAATAAAAGAAAATGTTTTTCATTGTCCCACTTTCTCCTAAATTTTGAAAAGTATGACATGACGCATGATACACAATTTTGACAGAATTTGAATATATTAAACTGGAACTCCAAAACTAGTGATGGGCAGATCTGATCCGATTCAGTGAACCGGATATTTAAAAAGAGTTGGTACTGACCCGACTCAAAATATTACAGTGCGGATCACGGATCCAAGATTCAATTACTATTTATTGACAAAATTGAATTTAGGATCAGTCAGCAGTAGGAAATATCACAATAATTGTGCAATTTTCGCCTTGGGGAGCGTTCAAGTATTACGTAACGCAATTTTTGGAGATTTTTAACCCCCCCTCCCCCCATGTAAAGCGCCGTAACGTTTTTGTGAAGGTAAAAAAAGGTCAAATGGTGACTTGAAATTTTGAGAAAAAAAAAAAAACGTTTTAAAAAATGCGTGAGAGAAACTCTCTACGCGACTTTTCTGAAGGGTTAAAAAATAATAATGTTGCGTAACGCGTAGTTCAAACGCTCCTGTAACGCATCGTAACGTTTTACAAAAACCCCCCTCCCCCCAAATTCGTTACGTAATACTTGAACGCTCCCTTGAACATACTTCTAATTTAGTAGATATTTTGTTTGTATGCAAGTAAATGTTTTTAGTTGTCTCTAAAAAGAAGTATTGAAATCATTCAAAAATCACTTTTATAAATGCAGAAACAAAAAAATGTAAATAATATGTAAAAAACATTTCAACATATCTACATACAATATTTAAAGATTCAACTGAACCGAGAACCGGCTCACTGATCCGGAACTGAGCCAAATTCGTTGACCCAGATCCGGATTGCCCATCACTATCCAAAACCGATGGACAAAATTGAGCCACATAGCGAAGTGATGTTTGACAGGCTGGCGCCCACAGATGCGTATCAAAATGCACTAAAAGGTAACACCAAAATTAATTTTAACACTTATTACATTCAACTACAATACCTTTTAATTTAAGAAAATCATTTAAAAATGATCTATGATTAATACGCTGCTAAAACAAATGTTCCAATAACAATAATAATTAAAATAGCACGATATTAATAAAAAATAATATAAATTATTGTAGAACGCCCGTGGAAAACGTGACGTAGAGCACTTGAAATTGACAGTCTGGCGTCTAAATTGTCATGCGCGCCGACAGGTTTTTTTTTTCACCCATATCGGCTTTGAAATTAGGAGTGGGACATATAGCCATCCAGTTTAATAAGAAAGACGGTGAAAGTTCTGCATACATTTCTTTGATTTTTTTGTTACATTAATCCTAGATGTATCCTAGATATATTAACTAATTCTATAAAAATATTGAGTTGAATACCTAGTTTACACAATTATAAAAGAAAACTTGGTAAAGGGACCGCGATATTTTACCATGATTACTTTTTATTTAAAGGTAGATTTTTTTCTAACCTCAGTTTGCTTCTATCATATCTGTCTTTGTGACAGACCCCTGAAAAAGCCCTGGCAATCGTAATCATTTCCTGTTCGGTAAATTCTGGACCCATGAGATGACAAAGTTTAGACCTAGAATGAGATAATTTAACATTACATTTTGTATAAAAATTCTTGAAATAGTCAAAATTACCTTAATTTTTCGTAAGAGATAAGTGGAGTGTTATCTTTAGGTATATTTTCGGCTACGAAATCTTTGTAGATAGGCTTCAGTTTTTCTCTAACGTTATCCATGATCAGTTTAATATTGGATTTGGGGTACTAAAAAGAGTGGAATGGTTAGTAGTCGACTATATTGTATTTAGAATAGTTGGCGTTCCAGATAACGTTGTTCTATGATGTTCCTTAAGGTGTATTCTTTTTAAAATATTCTTAGAACATGCGTATAACATACTTTAAAAATAGATACTTTTATTACATATAATATTGTACACATACTTGATGAGTACATTCTTAGTATTTCCATAACACGTACTTATAAACAACGTCCTGTACCATATACTTAGTATATGCCAATTAAGTATATTCTCAACATAGGTATGTTCTTAAAAAGTATATCCTAAGAATATGCTAAGAATGTATAGTTGTTATTTGAGGTCCGTCATGTACAAATCTAGATAACCAACTCTGACTCATAATCGAACAGACAACGAGTTATATTAGCATTGTTGCCAAACTAAATTAAATTTTCTAACGGAAGCTACATCCCGTAATCTGTTGAAATCATCGCTTACTCTACTACAGTGAATCTCCATGTATCTTAATGCATATTCGTCCGCGTCGATAAGGACAAACTCCCAGTTGAATATTATCAATGTGGCTCCTACGAACATTTGCTGTGAGGTGTACTTCAACGGAGGTGTACTGGTAAATCGTTTTTGACCAGGCAGGAAAGCATCGGTTCTTTTCAGAAAAGTAGATTTCGGAAAACCTACAACGAGCGCGTAGAAAAAGTATAGTATATGACTCGTATCGAAAAAGTATACCTGAATGTTTGGTAGGCACTTCGTGAATGGCGATTGAGTCGTCGCATAGATATGCGGAAATGATAAAAGTTCTTTTACAATTTTCCACACTGTCCGATTTCATTTTGGCTTTGAATCTTAGAATGTGACTGTCCATTCCTTTCCTAAACAAAAATTATTATAGTGTAAATGCAGTATTCGAGAAAGATAAAGTAATTCGCATAGATACCTGTCGTATTGCAAGAATTTCTTGAAGTCCTTTAAAGGAGCCTTCGGTTCGACGGTCCTGCAATTTTGCGCCGAATCCTCGTGACTTCCCCATCCGTTCCAAATGGGCAATTCTCGCTGTTTAATGGACTTGTGTTGTTTCGGCTCTTTCTTTTCTTCCGGTATCGCGATCGGCGTAAACTCGTTTATACCGTACTTTTTGGCGTAAAACTCTTTGGTGAATTGATCGCAATCGACCAGAATCACCTGGCGCCCGTACACGTTCACGATTGCACCTAAATAGAACGCCATTGAATGAATTAAATATGTCTTCAAATCTGGGGAAATTTATCACTCAATTCTCATATGAAAGCATAGCATTTTGGATCACTTGAAATGAAATTTCCCCAGATTTGGGGAAAATTTTCACAAAGTTCTTATATCATGTGACTTGAAATTTCCCCATTTTTTAAGAATGCGGCTAAATGGGTGTATCATATTTATTTTGTTTTTGTGCATGACAGCCCACAACTTACCGATAGTCAAATCTTTTTCGCAATAATACGCGACATTCTCTCTACCGCAATCCAAACTATCCAAAATGTATCTCCTGGTATCCAAACTGTTCCCCAGTACGTTCAAAATGGTTTCCGGGCAATCGAATCCGGGCGGCGGGAGGTCTTTGTTCAGTTTGGCCAATTTGGATCGTTTCAAAAATAGGAATCCCGGTTCTCCGCCGACTTCAGATTGTAATTCCTTAATTTCTATCGTATCGTCTGCTAAGTAGAAATGGACTTCCAAATGGTGCAGATACCCGAACGGAACCTTGCGGTCGTCCCAGTAGGCTTGGAATTTTAGAACCTGCGAGTCAATGATTTTAAAATGTAACTTATAAAACTCTTTCAGAACAACTGTAAAAAGAGTACGATAACCTCAAAACCGGTACAATACAGACCTTCTTGTCGTTTTTAATGAACTTGGCGAAAGACGGAGTTTGCGATCTTTTAGGTTTCTTGGGCTGCATGGATTTGATATCCTTTCCTCTTATCTCTACGAAGGGATCGTCCGGCATAGGGATGGCGTCCGGTACCGTTATACCGCAACGATTCAAGAACGTTCTGGTGAATTTATCGCAGTTGACTATCTTGAACACTTTGCCGTAGAAGTTCACTTCGAAGCCAATGTTGAAGTCGAGGATGTCGTAAAAGTTGTCGTCCATCGGAGGTGGGAAACGGATTCTTTGACGTCGGATGACAGTACCTGAAATGTACAGAATTTGATTTAGAGCTGATCAGGCTCTAACATGATCCGTTGGAAAAAAATTGATCCACAAAGTCGGCCATGGTCTACTGCCTCTTTCTCTTTTTAAGTGCAAACGATCTTATGTGTGTAAGGTTGTAAAAAAGAAAATTTTAAGGGTGTAACGCCCAATCTCAATTGGGTACAGTTGGGTAGCTGAAAGCCCAATAGCTTTGTTCGCAGAGCCGATTCCGAACGTATTCTGAACGCCTACTTAAACATTTAAACAATACAAGTCCAGTAATAATATGTAATTTAATTTTTACCTTATCGTTCGGAATCAGTACAGGATTATTCTCGCGAATGAACTCAATGAACCACTGACACGGATTATCTGTGCGGACGAGATCAATGCTGAAGAGCGCGGGAAATCAGATGTTGTTCACATAAAATTATCTCTTCACATTTATATTTGTACTTCCCTTACTTATATTTTCTTTGAACAACTTCCTGTTTGTTCCCTGCTAGGTACAATTTAGGAATTCTTGTCCTCAACCCGAGGATAATCATAGACCTACCTCCTTATTGGTGGTCTCTATTGATCATGCGGAAATCCTTCTCTCTTAAACATCAAAATTTGTTTTTGTTATGTTTCCTACCCTGAGTGTCAATTACACATCTGCAAATATCATTTTGTTTTTGCCTTTGAAAGTGAGTGTCTATTTTTTTAATTTAGATTTATTATGGAGTTGTGACAAAAAATAGTGGGATAACAGTTATTTAAAGCAATGATGACAGAGGGTAATCATTGTAGCCAACCCAACAGTTGTTTTTGGGGTAAGAATAAGAGAGAGACAGTTTGAGAAGTTACTAGATTCAAAAGCCCCGCTCTTTTTGTCGCGCGTATGAGTAATGCCAAGTTGTCGAATTAAGCATTCCAACGACCTGTCCAAATGGTTACCAGTGGGATCTGACAGTTTAGATAGCAACCCTGTGGGCATGTTGTCATTAACAGGGTCAATGATACCTACATAGTTATATAGATTGGTCAAAGCGGGTCGTTTGCGAGCGGCCGTATTGCCTGGCTAATTTGAATCGGTTTAGCAAAAATGTGTTTTAAAACCAATTTTCAGCCTTTGAATATTTAAAAAAATAATTGCCTACATTTTTACTTCAAGGCATAAGCTTATGTTTATTTTTAAAATCATGGATGATCAATCTATACAGTGTGTCTACTTAAGTTGGAACCATATGGAAAAAAAAATTATTATTGATTTTAGGAAAAAAAGTTGTTCTTAATAAAAAGTCCTGCATGACTCAAAACTTAAAACACAGTCATCAGATATCAAATTTTTCAAGCCGTATACGAGGTTTGACAAAAAAAATGAATTTTGCTCAAGAAAAAAGTACATTTATTTTTGACAAAATCGAAAATTTTCATTAAGAAAATCGCTAAATTTTTCACAAACATCAAGAAAAGGAAAGCATCATGTTTATAGTAGAGAAGAGAGAGAATGTTTCAAAAGCTAACGTAATTTATAACGTTTTCAGATATTTACAATCAATATGTAGAAAAGTAAGAAAATCTGTTTTTTTCAGATAGATCGATGTAATTGCATATTTGAATTTAATTTTTAATTCTGCTCTACTTTTCTTAATGAAAATTTTTGATTTTGTCAAAAATAAACGTACTTTACTCTTGAGCAACATTCATATTTATTGACAAACCTCGTATACGGCTTGAAAAATTTGATATCTACTGACTGTATTTTAAGTTTTGGGTCATGCAGGACTTTTTATCAAGAATAACTTTTTTTCCTAAAATCAATAATAACAGTTTTTTCCATATGGTTCCAACTTAAGTAGACACACTGTATAACTGTCTATAGCATTGACCCTATCAAAACACCAGGCTTACAGTGTTGCCATATTATAACTTATCATGTGCCTGTCAGTGGCCTGTCATTTCAAACGGGCAGCCATTTTGTTTGGAATGCCTAATAAAGTGTAATTAAAAGTTTTATAAGGAGAAATATAGTAATATACGAATTACGCGGGTTTACCAATAATTTCGGATTGCAGTAAAACTACGTTCTGTTATGTAAGAAAATTTTGAAAGGTACCTTGTGTACAACCGCTATTGACGACGTGTGGTTCCACGACTTGTATGGTTCCATCTTCCAAATACAGATATATTTTACATTTCCTCATTAAAAATGGTTGATTCCTTACCTCTTGCAAAGTTTCATTGAAATAAGCATCAAATACCAAAATCTAAATAAAAATATATCATATGATATAATAAATGATGAAGAAAAAATATATTAATGGTTATTTAGCAGAACTTGTTTATTTTACCTTTTTATCGAAAGCGACCCACGATGGGATTTCGATGGTTTCCCCACGGGGATATGCAGACGGGTATTTGTCAGAAAGGGGACCCAACATGTTTGGTTTAACTCTTTCACGTATACCTCGGTTCCCTGGTCCCAAATAATCCAATTGGGGATGCAGACGGAAGTTCGTTCTGCCAATCTATAAATTATAACTTTTTTAAATATTTGTTTTAACATAAAGCATCCATTGGGGTCTATTCTGTAACAATTCCTTTATATTTAACGGCCTTTAAAAATATTTTCTTCTTTACTTCTGTCATTACTTAAACGGATCTTTAAAATACATTGGAGGACTATCTTAAAGAAATCTGTTTACAATAATGACAGAAGTAAATTAACGAATACGAAAATATTTTTAAAGACCGCCAATATTTTTAAAGGCCGTTAAATATAAAGGAATTGTTACAGAATAGACCCCATTATCTTTTGGAATTAAAGGAAAAGTTGCCTTTAATAACAATTTATTGCTCTTAGGAATCTTGGGTTTATCTTTAATAGAAAATACACCATTCTTATTAGTTAAATAATTGTTTTAAATTACTTACATCTGGGTTGAAAGTATAGCCCGGTAAAAAAGGCAAACTGGGACACCTTGCAGTCATTTTTAAATAAACTATCTTCAAAGATTTACAAGTAATATGAAATAACAATTCTCCCTGTTACTTATAAAGAGATAAAAATAAAGTTTTGTCAATAGGACATAACGGTTTCCATGGCAATGAAATAGTAAGATGACAATCAACATATTTGGATGTCCGTAAAGGGAAATTTCCATGGGTATAGCAGAAGTAAAATTTGGAAAAGCTTTTGCCAGTTCTCCCACTTTATACATATAAATTAACAGGTTTGCGGCGAATCTCACCGAAGTGGACGCGATACATTGGCGTACAAAATTATTTTATAGATGTTAATAAAAATTTCGAGTAAATAGTTTAATAAATTGTGAATAGCTGTTGAAATTTTGTAAAATTATGATTTGAATATTATAATACATGTGTAATAATTATTTATAGTTCATAAATACATGCGATTGTCCGGTTCCGCCGATAACAATTTAAAATTACTTATTCTATGAAACGACACTGGCAGGTAAACATTACTGCGAAATTCACGAAGCCGTCCGACGTGGTTTGACGTTTACCCCCTCTGTACCTACCAAAAGCCTTTCCAACTTTTACTTTCGCTATAACAGGTAATGAAATATACACCGCGTTTGAATATCCACATCAGATGCATTTTTTACATATCGAGCGTCTGTTTATCCACATCGGATACATCTACTAAATCTACATCTGCGAGATATTATATAACTATCGATTTAAAATGAGATGTGAATATAAAGACTAGAGGTTCTTTATCCTGTGACTAGAGAGATGTGAATGAGATGTTCGTTTCATGACAGAAAGTAGGTGTTCTGTGATGCCAAGTTTATCGATTTATCCTTTGTTTATGCTAGCGTGAATGATTAATTTGTTTAATTTTTGTTTAGATTTCAAATTTAGGTTAATTTCTAGTCTCAAAAGTCAAATTTAAAAGTATAAATATGAAGATCTCAGTCTTCATAAGGATAAACTTCTATAACTTGTTATTGTCATTTGATCACGTGACCAATAAAGTCTAGAGCGTTTGTTTATTACATCTACATTTAAATCTAATCCTCTATCACGTGATAAAAAAATTCACAACATCTCATATGCATCTGATGTGGATATTCAAAGGCAGCAATAGAATCCCCAGTCACAGTTTATAGCTAAAGAATCATTTTGCTCACTCTGCCTCGACAATTTTGATCTTAATGTTCCAGTTTATACATTGCGCAATTCGAATTTGTATCTCTGGCGCATTCAGTGGATTTTTACGAATGGGAAAACAGACTTTAAAATTAAAAGAAAGCAATGAAAGTTGTATGATTGCAAAACACAGAATGAATTATAGATAGGTATTCTTAGTAACGAATATTGTTCTTTTTCCGATACTTCGAAAGTTTAATACAATATATGTCAACCGTCTATATTCAAACAGCAGTCTTCTGCGCATTCTGATTTTGAATCCCTGGAGTGGATGTTATTTTTTTGGAACATCCAATTGGTCCGACTGAGTTAACTGATTCTTTAGCTATTCACGATTAAAGCTAAGTGATACGCCCTCTGGAGGAAATTTGTGGAAGGTTTGTATAGGTAGGATTTGTTTCTTTTATCTAAGGGTAGGATATTGTTCATCGTTGCCTGGAGTAGCGAAATTTCGTCGTCGGATTTTTAAGACCTTTTTTAAGTAGCAAAATTTATGTCTAGCAATATGCAATAATACTCAATTCGTTGGAATATTTTTTTATGTATGTTCAGCGATTATTCTTTACTACTTTGTCCAATTTCTATGATTCCCTTTTTTTTGTTAGAAAAGTAATACTTCAGGGGTGATCCCATATAAATTTGGTCAAGATCTAAAAATTGGGTTCATGAGAAAATCCTCTTCACTTTTTATGTATGTTCAGCGATAATTCTTTACCATGTTGTTAGATTTCTATGATTATTTTTTTGGTAGAAATGAGATATCTCAGGGGTAGATTCAAATTGGTTAGGATCTGATAATCTATGAGAAAATCAAAAATCTCAATTTTTATTACCTAGTCTAAGGTAAATAGTTTGTTAACTCTTACTTCCACTTTGTGAAATACATCAGAGTGTTAAAAAAAATAGGAATATTAATCACTGAAATAAGGTGCATTTTCATGTATTTCCATAATTAGAACATAACTTCTGATCACTTATTTGTTACATTAAATACTAGATAATATTTAATAAATAATAATACAGGGTGTGAAATATTATCTAATACAAAAATATAACACAGTCTTTACATAGATTTTTATACCCAACAAATTATAAATCAATAAAAAAGAGATTGCATTTTTATAAACCTGTCTTATTACATACATTAACTATTTTCACACCATCAAAATCTGACTCATCTTTTAGCAGCATTTAAAATAGTCCTTAATAAAACACTTGAAGGGTACTTTTTAAAATTATTTTTGAATCGTCCATATTCAACAAAATACTTGAAATAAGAACACACATGCCTATAATTTTTGAACCAATTTTATATTTACAGTAATATCTAGTAATGTGATTATCTTGTATTTTTCTGTAGGTATACAACATGTTCTTCACATTATTCACAAATCTCGAACGGGGGCATGCTACATAGAAAGTTTCCTAACAAAAATAAAGTACCTACTATCAAAAATTCCTAATAACAAACTTTTAAAATTGTTCCTAATACAGCCCAAAAAATTATCTAGTCTGAAACTGCAAATATTACAACAGCCATACCCTATCATAATAAATTAGCTGTTATAGTTAATCTAACACCAACGTTTTAGCTCAAAGAATTTTTTGTAATTATTCTGATTGATAAACAAAGAAATAAAAAAAGTTTCGTCATATGCATAGAAAATAATCTAAAGCAAGATAAAAGTATGTAGTCATGAAGTGTTCTAATAAAGTAATACTGAAATAACTCTATAAGGTTTTTTATGAGATTTTATTTTAACTAAAACCTAAAAATGTACAAATACAAATTATATTTATAAGTGATAAGCTGAAATCCGCACTATATATAAAAATCAGAAAGTGCTTTTTAATTAGATTATGTCTTATCAGTCATTCATTCAAGTCAGAGTTAGTAGAATTATTTCTACATTTAAGTAGGCGTAGAACGGGATTTGGTTAGTTAAAAAGAGCTTTGATTATATACGAGCAATACTGAATTCATTTCAAGACTTTCTACAATATTTTAGATATGTCAAGTTTTTCGTTAAATGTGTTTTTGTAATAATTCTTAGTTGTTTAAGTAGCTCTATCACACCCTGTATTACTTATAAAAATTATTTAGTATGAAATGAAACTATAAAATGGCCAGAAGTCATATTCTAACTATGGTAACACATGAAAAATGCACCATATTTCAGTAACTGATATTCCTAATTTTTTGAACAAGGTGTATGTAAGTAAGCATGAACAAATTATATACAAGTGTAACACATAACATAAGTTGCATGGAAAAATCAAGAATTACTTAAAAATTGGGGAGATATATTTGAAAATATTAATTCTGCATTCCTTATAGCTATTCTAGGGATGTCGCTACTCGCTACACATGGGGTGTCTGTATATTAACAAAAAATAGGATCGTAAGTATAGCAGTTATGTTTAATAAATGTATTGAAAAGCTGTTCGAGGCTTCCATAATAAAGGTTGACATTTTTGACAAAAAAACTAAACTATATATTATTACAGTATACAGAACACCGGATAGTAAGGTACCTAGATGTTTTTTTTGATGGGGTAATATGATAAACTTTTTTATTATTAATATTAAGGAAAAAATTATTCTTCATAAAAAGTCGAGCATGGTCTAAAACATAAAACACAACCATCAGATATCAAATTCTATAAGTCGAATAGGTTTGTCAAAAATAAAGTTTAAATATTATTTTCAATAATTTTTGTGTATAAAATATATGTAGGTACCTTTTTGTGAAAGTAAAACTATATGTTATAATTGTAACGTCTCCACTGGACTGTACACAATTTTTAAATATTTGTAAATTCAAACGAAACTGTTTTTTTGTAAAATCAAAATTTTAGCAAATAAAAATATTATTATCATTAGAATAAATAAAGTTATTGGAAATAACACTTACAAGTTAGTGGAAATAGAAAGTAACTTAATAAAAGGACGATATCACATAGAAATCTTATACCTCATACTATGACATAAAATGCTTTATTAACAAAAAAAATTAGAAACACTAGGATGTTATTACAACAAAAATGTATTTTATTTTTATAACATGAGGGCTTTATGTACTGATATTTCACAATACAAGACAATAACTATGTTTGTTAATGTAATCATGGTAGTGTTATATTTCTATGGTGTTATAGAATGTAAATGACCAAGCAGGAATAATGTAGGTAAATAATAAAACTTACCCATGGACATTTCTTGATAACAAAAACATAAATTTAATAAATATATCTTAGGTTGAAAGGTAGAGTATTCGATGAACAGTTGCAACTCATATCAATAGTTTTCAATTGTAAATAATTGAATTCACTGGAAAATCTGGTAAACATACCATAGCTAAAATAAAAAGGCAATAAATAAATAAATCTAACAATAATGACGGTAATAGAACATACAGGAAATAGGAAATAAAAAGTCAGTGTAGAAAATTTTATAATCAAACAGAAATTGAAAACAATATGTAAAATCGAAAAAAACTTAATATTATGACTTATGAGTGAAAACCACGAGTAAAATGTCATTCACCGGGGTGAAAACTAATAAAAAAAGTGAGGTTAAAAACGATATAAAAAAAAAATATTAAAATAGTCACCTGAGATATTACAGGAAAAAATGTTGCTAGACAACGAAAAACAAAGGAAGGTAAGAAATCAATAATCTTGAAAAGGTTTTGCTTTTTGCTTAGAAAAATAAAATGACAATTTTGAATTTTCATTAAATAACGAAAATTGAGAAAAAATAAGTATCAATTACCTGGACAATATAGCCCATAGCTGTGAATATCTTCGAAGGTTAGCAGTAGCTTGGGATTTTGAGTACCAGTAAGGTAAGGAACAATTACAATTTTTTTCAATAAATCAAATGAAAGGCCGTCATACTGGAGTTACACAATTTTTCGGAGATCCAAATCCTTGAAAATCTTAAAAATATCTTGATAAACTAAACAGTCT